TCTATCGCGTGAGATATAAATTGCTCAATCAATCTACCAAATCCATATTATGTGTTTTTGTTTATTTATCTGTTTTTTTTAAGATATTAAGTTTACATTACAGGTAAGATGAACCTCTTAGACCATTAGTTCTTACATAAATAACTACCATATTATACACTTAATTTTCTTGGCAGTTTTATTTTCACGCTTTTTTGCAGAAAATTTCAACCTTCATTCAGGTAAGCAAATGCAGCTCTGGGAATACCCGTGGGATCTAGGTTGAGGCTGTAGACAAAGAATACTGGTTAACTCATTCATCCCTGAAGTTTCATAATGAAACATTCTAACCTTTGAATTGGAAGAGTTCAAATGTGTCTTCAGGGGTGAATAAGTTAAAATATGTAAGTATACTGTTGTTCAGCCGTTACAAACTGCAACTAAACGGGACGCCTTCATCTACAAGTAAGAACTTTGTAGCCGGAATGATATGTGCTCAAATAAAATTTCTTGAGACAGTTTTACCAAATTCAACAGGAACCACAGGCTGATATCAATTTTTCGACAAAAGTGTGAAAGTGTGCCAATTCAAAGCAGAACAGAGACCCTGAGAGTATCTAATGCAACTTTATACAACAATAATGTTCAGAGTTGCATAACAGCTTGAGCTTCAAAACTTTAAACTTGATCTTTACATATTCAGAGACATTCTTTACACATTTGATTTATTAGACTATCCTAAATGCAAACTTTACATTTGCTTTACAAAAAACATGCCCAATCTGCTGAAAATACAGTAATCAGGATTCCTGACAATACATATATCCAGGTTGATATTATATACTGACCACAAGATAAAACTAATGTCCTATATTCTGTAGATAAACCTCACTTTATTGATATAACTAGATCAGGATTGAGAACATCCCCACATATATAGCAATGCGGGGCCTCAGGGTGGATGGTATAGCCTTGTCTGTGTTTTTTATCACATTATTTATTCATTAATACCTTCTCCTGAGGGAAATGTGCTGGTACAGTGTTGCTTTAATGAATAGAGTACCTAGGCCAGCAGGCAAACTAAATATTCTGCTACTTAATTGGACTGATGCTATACTAGAAATATTGTAGCAACACTCTTAACTACCATTGGTGGAGCAACAGTATTTAAGGGGTTCCTGTCCCAATTGAAGGCAAAACATAAGAGAATCCAATTGTAGTTTTACGTAGTTACAGCTACCTCCCCTTGATTTCTATATAACTGCAGCATGACTAGCTAGGACAGGCAACTATTGTTGACAAGGGAGGTTCGAATCCTTGCCAGGCCTTGTAACTTTACACTCAAAAAATAGTTGTTGATTAATTTTATTATTTCATCTTTTTTGTTGTTTTCATAAAAGTCCCCACAAGATTTGCTTTTCTTTTCAGAAATAATTTATCAAAGCTATAGTCGAGTCAGAAAAAGATGTTTCCTATACCCAGTGAGAGTTTCGGAGGTTGTTTAGTGGATCCCCTAACTCATTACCCCCTGAAGACATATTTGAGCTCTTCCAATATAAAGGTTGGAATCAGTTCATTATGAAATTTCAGGGGTGAATGAGTTAACTAACATACTAGCAACTGTAGGTCAACCCCATAATGTTCAGGTAACATTGAACTAGAAATAACACAAGATTTCAAGATTTGCAGCAACACTATATAAGCAATATTTGAGCAATACTGTACTGTACCGAAATACTCGGTAGTGAAGCGGACGTAAAACCTATCAATCAATCAATCAATCAATCAATACTGTACAAGCATTGCATCCAAATTAGTAAGTATTAACGAACTTAGAATATCACAGCTTTCATAACATTTTAACAGCTATAAAAATAGAGAAAATGCAAGATCTTAAATGTGATATTTCTCTTCTTAGTAAAAGCAAACTCTGTTTCCTAACCCTCAAGTTATATTGGCATCAAACAGTGAGAGGCCCCTGAAGTCACAATGTACCATAGTACTGTGTACTGTCAATGAAAACCAAATGGCTGTCAACGTGATTCAATGACGATACAAAGTGAGACCTATGTAAACAGGCTGTGAATATCCTGGCTGTACTTAATACTGCACCTCCATAACATCACACTAATTCAGATGGCTTTTAAACCCAAATGACATTTGAAATTAATCTACACCAAACTCAATTAAATTACAGGCCACGTTACCCGGTAAAGCCATTTACGCAAATTATAAAACGGATTTTATGTCCGGTTAAATGTTTAATGATGTCCTGATCAATTTACAGTTCACCCCCGATAAACTGATCCTATAGTTCCCAAGTGAAATCACCCATTTTAAACTCCAAAATGTCTAGCTATATATATACAGTATCTCATTGGTGTCGTTTTATAGGGTATAGCCATGCCTTATATGGTTTATAATTGACAGGGTATTTTTGTATAGTTACTCTTGTGTAGTTTTATAATAAGACAGGGTGTTTTTTGTATTGCTTTATTGAACAGGGTATCTATATAGATTTGTAAGTCTACTGTTTCCTTTCATGGAGATAAAGAAAGACATTCAGAGCTTGTAAGATGGGCTGGAAATGTTGGCTATATTATTTTTCCATAAGCTTGAATGTCATCCTTGCCTTTGGCTCATACAGTGGATTTTCCCAATCATTATTTAGAAAATGACCATTTGATACTAGACTATAGTGCCGCTTCAAATCACATTGTATCACTCTTTTGGTACCAGACTGTAGCACCATTTTGGTACCAGTGTATAGCACCATTTTGGTACCAGACTGTAGCACCATTTTGGTACCAGACTGTAGCACCATTTTGGTTCCAGCATGTAGCAAAATGTTGCTACAAGATTGTACAATGTGTATCACACTTTTGGTACCAGAAGGTAACGATCTTTTGGTACCAGAAGGTAACAATCTTTTGGTACTAGACTTGAACAATCTTTTGGTACTAGACTTGAGCAATCTCTTTTGGTACTAGACTTAAGCAATCTCTTTTGGTACTAGACTTAAGCAATCTTTTGGTACTAGACTTTAGCAATCTATTGGTACCTGACTCAGTACGTTTGTAGTACACTATCGGTACCAGAATGTGGCACAAATCTGGTAAGAGATTGCCATAATTTTTATATAGGTGATTGCGATAAGGTACAATGGTCTATGACAGGAGCTCATACTGCGGTGTCTCCCGACAAAAACAACCATTCAATCCTCAATGGCATTGTCTAGTTTTGTCAGACATATTGGATGGAATATGAACATAGTATACCCTGACAGTAGCTGAACCGAATCCAGATATCTGTTAAAAACTCACCTGTGGGCAGGAACATTTGTATTCCTGCACAAAAACCTGTGCAGTTTTCTAGCCAAACAACTGTATATCTTGCCTTGTAAAGTTGGAAGACTCTTTATTTAAAATAAAAAATTCATCAAATACAACAGATCTCAAAGACAGACTGACTGAAAACAAGAGACAGAACATGATTATTTAGCAAACTAAAATAATTATTCTCTACTGCATGTTACAAATTTTAATACCTTTTTAATAAAGCCAATCATTAGAAAAAGAAAAGGTAAATAAAAATACTACCCAAGCCCTGGAGGTGCTGCAGATGAGCTAGTGTTAAAGCAAATCAAGCATAGAGGGAGCACAAGCACATCAAATATATACAGCTATATACCACTACACTGCTCTGGGCGTGGAACAAAGACGCAGGTCAAAAAACAGCATAGCACTACATAGTCTGGGCACGGAATGAAGATGCAAGTCAAACATACGACGTCTAAACCACTATATTGCTTTGGGCACGGAACAAAGACAATGGTCAAATATTACACCCATACCACTACAATGCTTTAGGCTTGGAACAAAGACGAAGGTAAAAAATACGGTTAAACCACTACAATGTGTTGGTGTGAAATAAGGAACAAGGTCAAATATACAACCAGTACACTACATCAGAACAGTATACTGTCAACGTGGAACCACACATATAGGACATAGCCTGAAATTATACCTAGCTAGCCATTAAATGTTCTGCCTAATGGGAAATGCCCACTGGAATAAAGCTATCATTCCTTACCAGACAGAGCTGTCATGCCAAGCCCAAACCCACATGCACATTCACATGACATGCAATGGAGAAACCCTTATTGTACATCGACAGCAACCTTTTTTAGTACAACATCAAAACAACGATCCCTTGTAAAAGTCTTTGAAATCTTCAAATCTGTCGAAAAGTAATTGCAACTTCACCAAGACGGGCAAATTCAAATGCAACTGTCATTTCAGAGACCTGTGTTACCTTGTGACCATAATCATTCATAGACATCATCAGAGACACCGTTGTCACAGAAACCATTGTCATTGACACCATCATCATGGATACCATGGTCACAAAATTATTGTCACATGATCAGACATAAAACCATAGAGGAACAAACAAACCTTCATACATCTGTCTGCACCTCATAATAGCTTAGTAATCCCACGTGACACTTGATGAGAAAAGTAAGGACAGAAAAGATATCAAAAGACAATATGTGCTGTATTGCTGTACAGTTTGATAATTTATACATGTTGACCTCTTTTGACCTCACCAATAGGCATTTCCTAATGACTTAATCTCTTTGCAATAACTGAAACTAAGTTCAAGATTCATATGCTGATTGAAGCGCTACAAATAAAGTTCTGAACAAAAGCACAAGGCACTAACACACAAAACTGTTAAACTATTTCCTAAACCTCACCTTCACAGTTGCACTATTCCCGAAGTACCAAACTTCAAAGATGCAAATTTTAACTTCTAAACATCCAAGACATTGAACTCTAAGATCTGCATTTCCATAGCAGTGACTGAAATTGTGAGACATCTAGAACTTTGACCCCTATGACCTTTGTGACCATGGCAATGACCTTAACTTCCTTACACCGGTAAGACATTGAACCTATGACCCGTGTGCCCCTAGCGGTGGTTTGTTCCACGCCTCTTGTTATTGGTCGACCACTAACCACCATTTGGTACTGCCCTTGCACAAGAGTGGGATATGTCGCCATGGTCGGTTTGTTGCTGCTCGCAGTCTCATACAACAAAAATAAAACATGCAAACAAATTAGTATCAGTCTCAAACAGTGGTGCACAAACAACCAATCAAATGCTTTGTTAGAAACTTAAAAACGTAAAGAATATGTAAATAGAAAAACCAGCGCCATCTAGCAAGACAGAGTCAAGGACAGGAAATGTGTCATTTTGACAGATAGGATCTGGAGTATATGTGATATGCAGTTTTTAGTATAAAAAGGGAAAAGATGCATTGTGTTTTTATCAAGTTGCTTTACCATAGATTAATCATATTTCATGATGGGAATTAAACTAATTTCCTAAAACATGAATACATGTTCATTCCAAAAGTGTGTCCTGCGTCATACCTTATGAATTGATCACATGACATCTGATTTTGTAATATGTAATGTTAGTTTAGGCAAAAATAAATTTCAAGTGAAACATGAATAATCTACAATAAAGCAACTAATTGTTTACTACTTTCATAAGAGCTGTCACCATAATGTATATGTTTTGTATTACAAAAGCTTATAAATGTCTTTATCAGATCAGTGTGTTTGTAATGGAGATTCTGTACTTGGGATGTCCCTTTTGTAGCATCTAAGTCTGGTGAGGACCTCGTCAGCTTAGATCTATGTATTATATCCTACATAATATAGACATCCTTCATAGGCAATTTTAAGTATTCAATAAGGACTGAAGAAATATACAACATATGTACCTAATATAAAATTGGATTGAAGTTTGTGTGACAAGAAAAATATATAAAAATAAGAAAATCAGAAGAATACCAATTCTAAACATAATTGGCCTTCCTATGCTTTTCAAATTTATTTATACGAAATGAAAATTCATATATTGTTCATTTGTTTTGAAACCTTCAGACATTTTTTTTCTTCATTGGAGGAGGAAGGACAGCTACAATGGCTGACAGGTGAGGAGATGATGTAGTCAGGATTCGGGACTGAATTAAAACTCGGGTATAGATATGATAATGACCACTGATAGAACTTAGTTAACAATCTTTACAAAACAGGTTTAGCTATAACCGTCAAACGCACATAAAACTTGGGGGAGGATTTCACGCTGACTTCGACATTATTCATGGAGATGAGTCACAGATTTAATCTTCATTCACAGAATGATATTAAAAATCCATAAAGAAAACTGATTTTTTTAATCCAAAGATTGAATTTCAAAGATAATATTTCAATTTGAAATTTTTCAATAGAAAGTTGCCAGCCAAACATGCCCTAATGTTGCCCATTTGTGATATCTGGTGTAATCGCAGCAGAGACTGTTGTTTGCATTGACCATAAAATATTTAACAGGCAATAAATTAATCAGCAGATCACTTGATCTGAGTTAGAATAGATCAACATGATAAACCTACAGGATTTTTTTTAATAGAAATATAGTTTCTTATCTACATCACAAGATTTTATATTTCATATATATACATGTATAAGCTGTTGACATGGGGGAGAATACCAAACATGTACTTTTATGAATTGTTGAATTATTATCCTATCTTTTGGTCTTAAACACCTGCAATTTTGTTTTGACAACCATTAGATGGAAAAAAGACAGCAATTATTTTGTTGTTGTATCTATGATTCTAAAGCCAATGCTTTAGATAACTCTTTATGGGTTTATGATATCCCAACGAAACTGAACGGTTGGCTTGGCTGTTTAAAAGATGAAATAAATTGGTGTTAGGATAATATGTGCTGTAGATATGAATCAAGTTTCACAAAACTGCAAGGTTGTCTTTGATGTAGAAATCATTAAACTCATTTATACCTGAAGACACATTTGAACTTTTCCAATTCAAAGGTTGCAATAGTTCAATATGAAATTTCAGGGGTGAATGAGTTAAATAACATCAGAGTTGTAGTTGTAGATCTTTGACAGACCACAATAGTATGTCTCACTAAAGTAAATATCATAAAAGGTTAGGGCATTTGTTGAATTAATCTTAAAAGTTTTTGAAAATAGCGCTTTGTAATTAACATTTCCCCCGATATTTTTATTCGGGAATTTGAAGTGAACGCCAGGTTTTAAATCGTTACACTTTGTACTGCTGTTCCTTTTCCCTTTGATCAGTCAATATATTCAATCTACTGTCATAGCTGCCCCGTTCCTTGTTAATTAATACTAAATAATCTTGTTCTGGTCAGAATTTTCCAATCCTAACGATCCTCATATCCGAAACTGCTAAGTGGCCACGGCGCTTGTTATGTGAAGTACAGTAACTGTTTTGTAATTAAATGTTTTTGAAAATTTATACTGTTAGTTAATTTCCTGCTTTTTAGATACATTTTCTTTTGTAATTATATCTCTTTATAGAATCAACCTGTAATTATCATATTAATTAAACCACAGGTTACTTCCCTTTTTGATACGTCTTCTGCCCAAGATAACAGAATCGGTTTTACCAGTCATCCGGTGAAATGCATCACAAGGAAGTTTATGATGCGTGACATTATAATATGTGGCCTAAACAGTGTGGAAACTTCTCAACCGCATCAGAGTTGTTACGTAACACTGCAGCCCCCATGTAAGGCGAGAAAACCTGATGATTTATAGCCCTTTTTATTATAAAATACAGGTATTTGTGTTCACCGCTATGTCATCTGTTTGTACCTGTATGTCTGTAGTAGTTCAAGATTTCAATTTCTACACAAATGTTGTCATGTTTCTTTTGCTCATGAAATTGACCAGATTTACATTGCCTGTGTATATCAATTTGATTCTAATCCAATTTGTCTGGTGTCACAACATGAAATTTACAAAAGCAGGCTTCAACACTTAAATAAATAATAAGAAATAACATGTAATGTATATAGTTTGAATATCCTTTTTTTTATTTTATTATATTTTGGTGCCTATTTTAGGGATTTTCTTGCATCAGATCACTTGATCTTTACGACAGGTTTTTAGACTGACTCTATAGTTAAAACATTTATTTTGGAATCTTTTCATTGTCAGATAGCTTTGATACCTTTCCAACAGTTAGACTGCAGTATTCTGGCGATATATTTTTGGGTGGTGATTTTTGTGGCAGATAGCCTTAGACTTTTGACATGGTTAAACATGAGTGATGTTGCCATTCTTTACACGTTAATCTGAGATTATGCTATACATGAAGGGCAATAAACCGTCACAAGGTTTCACCTCCTCAGACCTATTACGCAAATGAATTCCTACAATTTTCGTGTGTTGCGATGGAAACTGGTAATCACCTAATTCTACATGGTCATTAGCCAAGCTGCATTTGACAAATGCATCGTTTGACACGCACACTGAAGGACAAGGTTCGGTGACGTCCTTCCTGTCACAGAAAGCAATAGTTTTTAAATATCCCCATAGGGTTCCCGTTATGACTCTCTACTCGGAACCTGTCTCCACCAATGCCATTGTAATGTACGCGTGTTGTACTGCTGGTAGCCATCTCCGTGGCGACAATTCACTCAGACTAGCCAATGCGTATTTGGTTAGATTCCTCTCTTCACTTGTTTCTCTAAATTGGTTTTGAAGTGCTGCCTGATAGAATTAAATAGTCGTTGTAAACCTTATATGGTGTTTGTTTAGTCACTTTTAAGACACTGTGCGGTGATTGGAAATATATATGGCCAGTTTCCAACAATTAGACTCCATCATTTGTCTCGATAAAGCTAATTATTACAGATTGGTTTAACACAATTGCATTAAATCCCATCTACTATGGGAAATGTGACAGGTTCAGGATGCAGGTGTTTTTTTCTCTCGGATTCGCTGCCGCGTGTGTGTTAAGATCTTCTCAAAATATATTTTAATTTCCTAGATCTAGCAAACTATAGTATTCAGAACATTTAACCCATCAGGAAAGTTTATAGATTTTTTAATTTTTTACATCATATTGATTAGTTGTTTTAACTCCCCTTTCATTTTATTTTTTAAGGATTTGACTCTTATTTTACTGGCAAGATATGACTCCATATTTTTAAGGATCCCTGTCCCACTGCAGGTAAAACACTGGTGAATTTGTACACACAGTAAGCTTTCCTTATTTTATTTTGGATATGACTGTAGTGCTATAGTGCCAGGGTATCACCATTGACCAGTTGACCGATGACCAGTCATGTAAGGACAAAAGTTTCCGTTGTATAGTTATACAGTTTCAGACAATGGTACATGGAACCTAAGTATTGATGTTGGAGACTTGCAAAGATCCAAACTGTTTATTGTGTATGTAGGACAGAATGGACAGAGGGGATAAAGAGAAAGATAGAGAGAAAGAAGAAGGGATTGTGTTACACTAAACCATATATATGAATAACATATCAGAATTACTGCAACCTTTACTACAAGTTGTGTCAATAAACAAAAGTATACAGACTACTATACTAACAGTAAAGCTTGGTTTCCATGGTTACTGGGTACCAAATTATCCTCTAGTTAGTTAACACAGTGCTGACATGTGAAGCTCAATGTATGCTTGTATTGTCACAGCTTCCAAACAAACAAAATTATAAAATCATAAAGTCAAATCAGCCTGTTCCTAATCTAATATTAAGGCAAAATCTTAGCAAAAAAACATTAAACAGGTATGCTGTAAGCTGAAAATAACAAAAGCATGTAAGCAGATATATTTATGAGATAGCATCTTGAAAATTCTGCATTGAAAAGAATATTTTGTGAGAGCAGAAGTTGTCTTCAAGAGAGATATTTTCGTCAGGTTAAATGTTCGAACCAGCAACATTTTCCTTTAAAATATGAAATATATACAATTTTCCCCAAGCAGACCAAACATAGATGTTCATATAAATTCTTCCATCTTTCAGAATTATTTCCCCTTAATTCAGTTTTTATTCCGATAACATAATAAAATGAAATGATAACGAAATGTTACACAGGGGAGATTTCTTCAATCAACTGAGAGTTAAACTCAACTTTTTAACGTTTATAGCAAATATATTTGCTGACAGAAAAGGGGAGATAATTAATCTCCACTTCATCTAAAGTTGTCTCCCCTTTCCTAGAACTCATCTCTGAAGACAACCAGTCAAAAATAGCTTTCATTCATCTGTTGATGAGCATTATTACTTTGCATAAATACAAACTGCCATGTTCAATAGCCAAGAACAAAAAACACTGCGGAAACTTAGGACGATGCTACAAGCCAGCAGTGACACTTACCATGGTCTGAATAGGCATAAGGGGTTGCAGTGCTGCTTGTTGCGCAGCCTGCATCTGGAGATTGCGTAATATCAGGTTGTTTCTGCCGTTCTGTAGCAACTGTTCCCGTAGGTGTTGTGGAGGATGTAGATATTTACATGGAGGATCTTTTCTCTGGCATTTACCCTGAAAAACACGGAAAAAACAACCAGGTTAATGACATCGGTGCAAATCGTTCATTACAAAAAAGGTTATTAATATATAATTCAGACGATGCTTCGCTCCAACCACATTTATTTGCTAGTGACATTTCTTTATTCTTCCCAAAAGGCCAGTGTCTATTAAATTGGGGAAAGAAACGATCAGAACATTTGTCTGATGAAACTCAACAAAAAAATTATTTCATGATAAAATTTATTGCATTCATGACGAAAAAAAATCAAATTGGAAAAATAAATGTTAATTTTAGGGAAAAAAACCCTGAAATTCTCTCGAGGGAAAAGTCTGAAATTTTGCCCAAATGCTAAATAATAACAAGTGCACAAAAAACTGATTTAAATTTAGGCCAATACCATCAACAAAATAAGACCAAGAGGTAGAAAAAATATAGGAAATGGTCATAAATTAACTACTTTTTAAATAAACAAAGAACAAGACGGTTGTTTATTAGGTAGGAGCTATGTAACATTGTTTGGTTATATGAAAGAACACCACGAACACACTGTATCATTGTTTCATGGAACAGGAGCGCTTTGTCAAAACCTTCTTCCATGTGACCTGTTTTCTCATTGATAAAACCATACATGGATTGATTTTATGCCATATTTAGATGACTGTCTATTTCCAGCTGTACAAACGGCTTCGGCCAGATCCCCGATAACAACACAGCTGATCAAATCGCTGAACCCCACACGATTTCTGTTTTTGTTGTTGATAACAACGTTATTGTAACCAAGAAAATACTATCAACACATCTATAAGTGACCTGGCTACACTTTTGTACGAGAGAATATGATACTTTATAATTATTTAAGCAATTAGATTAGTCAGGTGCAACAAAAGTCTTGTTTTCTCATTCATGAAGTTTATTTGAATATTTACATGTTGAGACAGCTTTTTTCTCTATTTTCTTTCTTTCAGCCATTTGACAAAAATTGATTATCTGATCATTTGAGAAAGTTTAATTTCTAATGAAACACGCTTTATTGTTTCAGATAAAGAAACTGAAATAAAAATATGAATGATTTGTATTTGAAATGTTTAAAATGTGTGTTCAGTCGCATGCATCCACCGAAGTGACTAATACTACATTCTGTTAAAACACTTAGGTGACTCGGATGCTGATTTATTTTCTAACTACAGACATTCAATCCTAGCACTTGCCATTTGATCACCAAGATTATTCAGACATAATATGATTTATAAATGTTCCGTTATCTAGAAATTCTTTTAGCAAATCACAACAGATCCTCTGGTTCAGTGACATCAAAAGCATTATTTCTACAACAGGACTTTTAACATTGCCTATCACTAACTTGTACAATTAATCCCTGACACTCAGTCCCGTCTTCACGCCTATTTTGTTTTAATCCGAAGATCAGAACACTTTGGTTACAACATTACATAACCTCCAAGGACATTTAAATCTGAAGCCAGGATCACAATGACCTGACATCAAGGGAAAGCTAACAATTTGAATCCATAATGCATCTGATCTAATGCAGGACTTTACTCATTTCGGCTGTAAAAATGTCAGCATTTGAGACAAGATAGACAGGGATCACATTTGTAATGGCTAAATTCGGCCACCTATTTCCAACAACCAATCTCCACCACTGGCATCCAAAACGAAAATTATAACTTCCCAAATGATGGAACTGTCCTTCCTTGACAAGGGCCGTCACTAAATTAGGACTTGTAAGGGAAGTTTGCCTTTTGCCCAGTTATNACAAAATGTCAGGTAGCCTTACACACTGCACAGTGCACAGATACAGTCCATCCCCTTATAAGGCGATTTCTTTGTCTGTCTAGACTCCCCGACCTCTCCGACCTTAGATAAGGTTTTCAGTGACATCATTATTTACCTGCAGTGTATACATGCGACTCCTTGTCTATGTTAACATGTATAGCCCGCAGGAATCCTGTTGTTGTTTTTAAACACTTTTACCTCCTTAATTCAAGCTGAAGTGAAACAGAGTACAATGTATTTATCAACACAGCCTTTCCATTGTCTTAGCGATCGGGTCACTGTCAATTTCGTTGAACAGGCGGAAATTGAGGATACAATGAATCTCCGACAGTTCTTAAAAGAAATAAATGTCTTACGAGGAGATTTAAAGACATATATAAAAGAGTAATTCATGTTTTTTTCTAAATCTGTACTGAATAGATTTTTCTTGAATTCCTTAAATATATGCTTCATCTAGCACCTATTTTACCTTTTTTTACGAGAGTTCCACAGATTACCGAGCACTTCCTACCCAAAAAGTGTGGGTATATCTACAATGCTTTCATGCTGTTGATTTTTTTAGATAATATATTACCAGCGCCTTGAGGTAAGTATATACCAGTATTATTGAGATTTATACAACTCTTCAATACACTAAACAATGACGTTTGCTCACCATTGAAATCACGGCCTTGAGACGAAAGCAGTTTTTAAAAGACCACGAAAGACAGAATGGTTTGTTGCCTTGTCAACAAACATGTACCACTTCCTGTCCCTAGTGACAGCCTCAATTGCAACCTTTGTTGACGGCAACCGGTTTTGGGACAGAAACTGAACGTAACAACCACCGATGGTTTTTGTTCAGGTCCAGAAACAAAACAATTACAGCCCTGATGTAGCTCGTTCTAAAGACCCTCGTAATTTATTACGGATGCACAATGTTGCATTATCAGTCTGTATTGGAGTACCTATTTAATAACCGCCCGCATTGCCGCCATCGCATGATTACAATCAATAGCCAGACATGGTGACAGCTATTCCTGTCTAGGCCCTATGGTAATGATGTGCTAGTTTTTTGTTAGAAGATTCTGGCAATTTCATCTCATGACACGGGAATAAACACACATCCCTGTGTGGGTGCCTGGCATACAGTGAAGTCACTTTTATTACGCCATTAAATGGCAAAACAACGATACATGTTTTAATTTCTTCACTATTTCCAACATTGATCAACAAAATATGTGTACATATAAATAGAACGGGAAAAGACAATTTGGCCAGACCTGTAAATGAGGTGAATTCATTGGTCTGAAACTGATCATGAATATGTGAAAGCGACTAAGAGATTGACTCAGAAATGTGGCGCCAATGTGTAAAACGCATTGAAACAGCACTGATTGTTTGATAACATTTTCATTTTGTTTATCTCCATTCTAATTACAATCTGCTAAATGCTATCATCAAAAACAACCATTTTCAAAAATTTAACTGGATTTATTATACAGTGTACATATTAATTTAAAACGGACATCTTGGTCGGTGGCATGCTTGATAAGCCTTGATTGGTTGCATGTTTGATAAGTGCTGTGGTATGTTCTGCACTTGGCAGGTTTGCTACCCGTTTTGAAAAATCATCCACTTATAATTCACAACACGATTTAGATTAAAATTTGGACAAACAAATTGCAATATTTAAAGAGAGTGACTAATGCCCAGTTGTTTTGACAGAGAAATCAGTATGCAGCGTTGTACTCATCAGATCTATAAATTTGGTATCCAAACATTTTTTTCTTATTTATTTCATATTTTGTAAATGCTTTGCATCTGTGGTTTATTTAAATGGTCTTTTCTTTTTAGGGAAATTTTCTTTTGATAATTTTCGTCATAACAAACCTGTGGTTTACCTTGACCTTCAAACATCCCACATATCCAGACTTCATGCCTCATAAACTCAAAGCTCCGCTTCTTTTATAAGTGGTTATCATAATATTACATTCAGTTAATTCACCTATTTAGAATTGACTACCTGGATTGAATACTGATGTTTAAGAGCCTGTGTCACGATATATAACTCATAATTATGCCGTAAAGGATATTTATTTTAATCTTTATCATCACAGTATTTATGCAAATATATAGTTCTGCTTCAACGAGTGAATGATTTCGAATGCAGACTAAAGCAAAAGTATGACATAAAAAATGTATCTTACTGAGACAGATTTTGATATACATGAGGCAGTGAGGGACTTTCTCAGATTAGATAAATTTACATCAAACTGTTACAAACTCAACCTGACAAGAAGCGTAGGCAATCTAGATATCCTCTGACATTCTCATACACATAAGTTATCAAATATTTACAAAAATAGATTCAAGTTGATCAGAAATGTTAATGAGAACTATTATTAATCATGACTGTGGTTGACATGTACAAGCTTTATTTTTAATGGAAAACTCATTACTGGATAAAAGATAAGTTTTGTTTGTGAGGGTCTACAGGAGCAGAACAACCACATCCACATTGCTCCTCACAGTCAACAACAGCCACTTACTGCTACACTCCTCACTGTGATAGTCCTCGCAAGCTTAATGTCGACCGCCTAAGAGGATTGCTTCTTTGAGATCACCAACATCATTATCCATGCTCTCCCTTCAACTATTTTATTTCTTTAATTAAAACTAACCGACAGGAATCTAAGCTGTAATTTCATCTATACAAGGCTTCTTCGGTATTTCCGCGATCCTTGACAGGAACTGCCGCCGAAGTCACAGCTGTATCATCGAGAGACTTTATGTAACCGTTTGACATTACCATTAGAATTTATCTTTAAATTTCTTTTTCGTGTTGTAATTCAATACAGGAATCATTGAATGCACATTCAGATTTATTTGTTTGCGTCTTTAAAAGTTTTCAGCATCTGCAACAGCTTTTACCAGTTAAGCTACTCTAGTCCTTTTAAGGGCTCGAATGTATCAATTCCATCTCCATTTTGCGATTTCAGATGTTACAGGAAGCCATATAGAAATGTTGAAGAAAAGAATGAAAAAGAGGTTGGCATTCACGGCCCTGGGACAATGCGAGCAGAGCAATCAATAATTGTCGTCTGTATCTTCATCTACAAGTGATTTCCTGGCCCAATCTGAATCAGAAGGAGGTTTTTACTGTGACAGAATCACATGGAGGCTTGTAATATCACAACCTGCTTATCAGATCACCAGAATACACCTCCAACCATGT